GAGCCCCTTAGGGAACCTAATCTAGTCTGGAGGTTCAGGAAATCCTCCTTAAGAAAATGACGTTTCCGTTGGGCCCCGAAGGGATCAGGCTGTGAAGATCTGGGAGCAGGGCCTATTCCTGGCAGAAAAGACAGTGTCTTCAAGAGAGAGGCAGAAAGTCAGGGTGGCTGGAGAGAGGTGACCCAGAAAGGATGCACAGATGAGTACAGGCCAGATCGGAAGGGCCTGGAGGTCCTGGAGGAGGACCCTAGTCTTTGTCCTAAGAGCAACAGGGAGGTCACCTAAATGTTGTAAGAGGAATGACTTGGTCAGATTCAGGTCCTTCCCCCTGTTTTTTTTTGAGACTGAATGAGTATTCCTTTATTTATTTATGCTACTAGAATGACTATCATTTATTACAGGTTACATAATTTTTTGTTGATCTGTTTTCATTTTTATTCTTATTAAATTTTATTTTTTATTCTTTTTAAAAAGAATAAAATCATTTTATTCTTATTAAAATATTTTTTTTTGGTTTTTATACAGTTTTTAAAGAGGCTCACTCAAACTTTATTCATTCCACAAAACATCACTGAGCACCTAATAAGGGTCAGGAAACGATCTAGATGCTGGGATGCAGCAAAAACTAAACTGATTAAAGATAAGCAAGTAAATAAAAGAGCAGATCTTAAATGTTCTCACCACAAAAAAAGAAATGGTAATTATGTGACGGGATGGAGGTGTTAACTAATGCTATGCTGGTAATCATTTGCTGTATATAAGTGTATCACATCAACATGCTTTATACCTTAAATGTACACAATGTTATATGTCAATTACATCTCCATGAAGCTGGAAAAAGCCCAAACAATCAAGCAACTAAACCACCACCACCAACAAAAAACTCCATCTAAAAGGAGCTTTTATTCCAGTAAGGGGAGACTGACAATAAACAAAGTAAGTTGTAAAATACATAGTATGTTTGATGATAGCAGAAAATAAAGCAGGAAAATGAGATGGGAATGTTTAGGACAGTCAGAGAGGGCCTTGAGGATGGCATCTGAGCAGAGACCTGAAGGAAGTGAAGGGACAAATGATGGGGAAATCTGAGGAGACGGCATTTCAGGCAGAGGAAATAGTAAGTACCAAGGCCCTAGGCAGGAGTGTACCTAGAGTGTTCAAGGAAAAGCAGAGAGGTCAGTGTGGCTGGAGATGGGGTTGGAGAGATAGCCGGAGGCTCACAGGGCCTTGCACTCCCTGTTAGACCTCTGGCTTTTTCCCTGAATAACATGAAAAACCACTGGAAGTTTCTTAGCAGAGGGGGAGCATTTTTCAGGACCAGTGGTATGGAAAACAGATTGTACAAACACAAGGACAGAACAGTCAGGAGGCCATTGCAATCATGCCTGTGAGTGGTGGTGAAGCTTAGACAAGGGGAGCAGGGGAGGTGATGAGAAGCACTTGAATTCTACATATATTTTGTGGAAGAGTCAAATGGATTTGCTGGTGGATTGGATAAAGAAAGTCAATTATTTGAAGTCATTTTTTTCTCCCTACCTAAAAGTTATCGTAGTCATTTTCAGGCCTAGATAGAAAGGTACCTAGGATATTTATTACCCTTGATTAGATACTTCTTATCTTCTTTTAACTAATATTTTAACTTCTCAAATTATACAAGGAAACCATTATTTTATCCTTCTTATAAAAGGTCATATAGTGCAAAATGAACACTCCCACTTACCACACCACAGTTGTCCTTTTCCAAGAAAGAGATAATCTCTATTATGTTTGACTTTTTTATGCATTTACGTATAAAAAATTTATAGCTTTATTCTTTTAAGAAAAATGGGATCATACCATTCACATTGATTTCTGCCTAATATGCCTTGCAGATCTTTCCGAATTAGTAACCTAGAGATCCACTTCATTCTTTTAAATAACTTAGGAGTCCTCTAGAAATGTATCTGACTCATTTCTCTCCTTTCCCCTAATCACTGTCTAAATTAGGGGATCAAAACAGGCAGGCATCCACGCATATGCCCTAGTCAGAGTCTCTCCTTCCACAAAATATCCACGAGATGACATTTTAAGGTTGAGAGAATGAGCCCAGCATGCAGAACCGATCTGTTTGCAATGTCTTAGAGGGGATCGCAGTTGCCTTGAATCACTTTAGTTTGAAAGTACTTTTGCTGGGGAAAATGCTTGGGCATTTTGTGCCCCTGGTTTACCAACACCTCACTCACTAGCATTCATGGTTATAGAACGTTCAAGAACCCAGGGCAGCGGGTTGCCCTGGCCTTATATTGTACGCAAACCTCCCAAACCAAAACGGAAGCATCTGACTCAACAAGAATAAGTGATGTTAATGGCTGAAAAGATTTCTCCACATGTGTATGCGTCTTTTCCAATTATTACAATGTTGCATTTTATTATTTATTGCATAGGTGATGCCAGAAGGTTGTAGGAAAATTAGAACAAAATACAGAAAAAGACTAGATAGAAATGACCAGAAAGCTTCTACCTAAAGATACTATTTTGCTGTTTTCAAGAGGGTTGGAAATTGGGTTGGCTGTGACATATCTTATTTACGTAGCTGCCACAGTACAAACCACTAACTTTGCTTGGTTCTTCTGCCCATGTGCAGGGATATGTCATGAGGAGGTGGGAGGGAGCACAGACATATCCTGTTGGAAAACCAACTCCTGCTTTCCGGCACCGGGGTCTCTTCATAAGGAAGCTATGTTACAATGCTAGAGGCAGTTGGACCAGTTGACAATGGTTTCCAGTGGTTGGGACAGTGCTTAAAATTCAGCAGCTGCCCTTCACTCTGCTCTTCTGACCCTCTCTAGAGGCACCTGGAACACAATCATGCCTTTCTCTGGAGTTTGTTCGCCTGTTTTAAATTAATGACAGGGACCTAGTCCTTCAGCTCGGCATCAATGAAGAACAGCAGAGAAAGGAAATGAGAAGGATCTGCCCAGCTGGGTGGGTCCCTCCAGGATATTAAGCCAGCTGGGAAGGAGGAGTTGGGCCATAAGATGTGTTGGGACTCAGTTCTTCCCCACACAGCTGGGATGGGTGTTTGCCTTGACGCCAGGTGCCGTTCTGCTGAGCTGGGACACGATGGCTGGACACACGAGCCTGGAATAAAGGGAGAAGCACTTACGCATATTTTGCCAACAGGACGATGGATGCGTGAGCTGTCCTGGCTGCTGAATGAAATTCAGTCCTTTAGCCTTCTACCTTTCACGCAAATAACTAGGCTTCTTCTTGCTTTGAGGGGGCAAAAGGCTTTTGTTTCTATAATTGCGGTCAATAACATTTATTAAATGTAGGAATAGTGTTATAAGATGGGGTTTAAAGAGATATTGGACAGAGTCTTTGCCCTCCAAAAACCCTTGTAATCCAGTGGCAGGGACAAAATGTAAGCGAGAAATAGTATTACCAGGCGGCAAGGGGTGAGCGCTACCTGAGTAGAACGGAATATACATGTTAATGGTGGTCAGAGGAAGGAGGCATCTCCATGTACTAGAGTGGACCTGACATAAAAGCTTCAGGAAAGAGGTAGCATTTGGCTTGGGACCTAAAGGAAGTCCAGGGGTTAGAGAAATGGAGACGAGAGTTGGGAGGGAATGCCAGGCAGTGGGAGATGGCTCGGGTAAAGGCTCTGCGGGTGCAGGGCAGATGTGCAAGAAGTAATGCTGGTGAATATCGCAAAGAGAGAGTCAAAAGCATGAGTGTGTGGGGAAAAGGGAAGAAAAGTGAGAGACATTGCAAGGTTGTGAAGAGAGATTCTTGAAGGAAAGATGCCATTGACTGCAGCGGGGATTTCTGGAAGGGTGATTAGTTTTAGGGAAATGATGACTTTGAGACTTGCCCAGTTGAAGGATGAGAATAGAGATGAAGGTGATCGTCTAGCTCCAGAGGGCAGTCAGAGCTGGAGAGAGTACGCGGAAGTCACATTCAAGCCTCATTAGCGCGATCGGACTGAATGAGGTCTCCAAAGATGGAGCAGCCGTAAGCCATCATCTCAGTCTTGCTTATGCTCACGTGTTGGGTGAAAGGAGGAAGTGGATGTCGCAAAAGACGTGGGCTAATGGCCCCGGTGATAAGACTATTGTTAGAAGGTTCACAACAGAAAGGGGAGAAGAGAATGTCAAGAAAATGGAGCCCTGTTTCCGCCTTGACTGCCACAGACGAGCCAAGAATGAACCCTGAGAATAACCCACTGCATATGGCGGTTAGAAGTCATGGCCAACTCCTGAGAAACCGGTTGTGATCAGGTCGGCTTGGCGGGTGTTTGGAGTGGGTGGTGATGAAATAAATACAGTGAGGATAAACCAGTGGTTTTAAAACTTGGCTGAACAGCCTCATCATTTGGAGGAAACCTGAAAAATACAAATTCCTCTGCCCCACGTCAGACCTTGTGAGTCAAATCTTTAGTGGTTGTGCCTATGAAACTGAGTTTCCACAGGTGGTTCAAACGAAGCCAGTCCACACAGCAGCATTCGTGAATCACTGGCTAAAGATGAGAAAATTAAAGATTAAGGATTAAAGATGAGAAATTGGATGTACTTGAGGGTAGGGTAGGGCTGAGGAAGTCTTCCTGGTAGTTTTTTCCCCCTTAATTTTACTTTTAGAATAGAGGAGATCTGAGCTCTTTTTCCAGGTCATGGGGGAAATAATCTGATTGAAGATACAAGAGAGATGGAAGATAGGAGATAGTCAAGTGTCCCCAGCTATAGGAAATAGGAGCGGGTCCTCCGAGGCAGGTGGGTGTAGGGCACCCTGGGAGGGGATAGCAAGGTGGAGGAGGTGGAGAGTCAAGGGAATATTCGAGGACGTGAAAGGCAGCCCCTGCTTTCTTTTCTTTTCTTTTCTTTTTTTTTTTTTTGTGGTACGCGGGCCTCTCACTGTTGTGGCCTCTCCCGTTGTGGAGCACAGGCTCCGGACGCGCAGGCTCAGCGGCCATGGCTCACGGGCCCAGCCGCTCCGCGGCAACTGGGATCTTCCCGGACCGGGGCACGAACCCGTGTCCCCTGCATCGGCAAGCGGACTCTCAACCACTGCGCCACCGGGGAAGCCCAACCCCTGCTTTTCTAAACTGATTCCAAATGAAGCTCGGTGTATTCTTCAGAGATTGGCTCAGTTCACCTAAGAACCTTGTTGAGTCCTTCCTAGCACCGTGTTGAGCAAATTACCTGGCACTTTTGTCATGACAGCTACACCCAGGAAATGCAGGTTATGAAAGTTTAGAATTATGAAATGACACAAGTTGTGCAGTTCAACATGAGCTTATCTTTTGAAAGTTTCTATTTCACAGCTCCTGAGGGGCTGCACTCTACATGACCTCTAATACTGAGGTTTTAGGAGACCGGCTCTAAGAGGAAGAATTGACCAAGTTACCTGTTGCAGCTCCAGGCGACAGCATCTGAGAGTCCAGTTTGGGGGTAAGAAGGGGAGACTGTGGGTGCCGTGCCCACAGAGCTTGTTGAAAATGGGTTCTCAGCTTTGTGGCAGGAAGCACTAGGTCACAAATCACACCTCACACCTTTCTCTCGCCGGCTGCCTGGGCTCCGTGTGAAATCTGGGTCTGTAATCTTCTCCTTCTGCCTTTTTTCTCCCCACTACCCAGTGTCAGCACAGTCCAACTGTCATTTGCAGATTGTCTCTGCATCCTGTGAAGCACGTCTCTAGGGTTCTTATAATAGCAATGAACTTAGTGGTGCAGGTAGTGAACAGCAACACTCTTTTGAACTCATCGTGTGCATTTTATCTAGTACCTCCCTTTGAAATTTGCCTTGGGCACATTTCTATTTTGACATCCTATTACAATGAAATAATTCTTTCTGATTGTGAAAGACAATACAAACATTATGACCAATAATAGTGCTCGCTGTATACCAGACACTGTCTCAAACATTGTAGGTATTTCCATGCACTTCAACCTCACAACAACACTGTGATGTAGTTATTCAGATTCCCATTTTACAGATGAGGGAATTGAGGCTCAGAGGCATGAGACATGTTGCTCCAAAGTCACATAGCTAGTGAGTGGTGGGGCAGGGATTCCAGCCCACATCCATCTGACACCAATGCCAGAGCTCTTCAATCGTACATGAGGAAATAGATTGAAACGTAGTTAACTAGAAGGGGAAGGTATCCTTGAGAGTTAAAACTATTTGTTCTGGGTGCTCCCTGATTTTTTTCAGCACAATATTGGCCGGGCATTCTTTAAACAAGCTCAGCCGAAACGCCTGCTTAAAGGACTCAGACACTTCACCTGAATCTTCCATGTGCTGGTCAGGTTTAGAAAAGCCAGTTGGATGAACCCCTGGAAGCCTGTAGTACCTTCCGTGAGCTCATAGAACATCAGAGTGAGGCAGAGGCCAACCCTGATGTATCTCAGATTTGATGGACAAGGAGGCCATTCATTCATTTGAGAAACCGTCCCCATAGAGTGCACCTCTGCATGCCATTCCTGTGTTTACGTAACGGAAACAGAAGTGTGGAAGCATCCAGTCCCAGGAGGGAACATTCACAGGAGACAAAGAGGACTGGGAGGGCGGGCAGTGGGGAGTGACCGCCTGTAACAGATGGAACAGGGCCCTAACCCAGACAGCGAGGTGAGTGGGAGGTGTTAGTTCCTGTGAACTGGAGTTTACCCCTTGACTGACATGGATGAAATCCACAGATGGCAGACTTTCAGGATTCAGGGTAGGAGAGAGGTGCATTCCTGTGATGCTCGGATACAGGGTGCCAGTGACTGCGATTTCTTTCTGGCATTAGAGAAAAGTGTGACAGGGGCAGTTGCCCCATCAGACGCCTTGTGAAGCCCTGATTAACTAGCAGCTCAGAAAGAGCTGGGGACTGACCGTCAGGCCGACCTTGATTGGAGCTCCTCCCCACAATTCACTGGCTGAGTGATTTAGGCATGTATTTACCCCTCTGACCCCTTATAAAGCTGGAGATAGTACCTAACTTTCTGGGTTGTTGGGAGAATTATGGAGCCAATGGACGTTCCATCAAATATCAACATCACTTCTGGCAAATGCTCAGGAGATAGCACTGTTCTATGTCGGTGGTTCTCAATCCAGGGTGATTTTGCCCTCCAGAGCACATTTGGCAATATCTGGGGACATTTTCGATTGTCACCAGTGGGAGGAGGATGCATCAGCATTGACGGGGTAGAGGCCCAGGATGCTGCCAAATGTCCTACATGCACAGGACAGGTCCACAACGAAGAATTATCCTACCCAACTGTCACAGAGACAAAGTGGAAAAACTCTGTTCTATGTTATGGTAACGCCCATAATCCTCATAGGAACCCCATGAAGTGGTACTATTATTATTCCTCTATTTTAGATAGGGGAATATTGGAGAGATTTAATGCCTTGGAAGTGAAATGACTTGCCCAAGCACAGGTAGCTAGTAAGAGCTGGGATTTGAACCGAGCCAGTCCAGCTCCAGGGTTCTCACATTTAACCACTCATCTTAGGTTGCCTTCTGCTGCAGTGGGTCAAAAGCAGTGAAGGTAGGCGATCTAGAAGCTTCCCTTTCCCTTTCCCCTATGCTAGTGATTCTTAAGCTCCAGCAAGCATCAGAATGACTTGTTGGGCAAATTAGAATGCGGTTCCCTGGACCCTATGCCCAGGCCACCCTGACGTAGATGTTTTTTGAGGCACAAGGCTCTACACCAGCCCTTGTGAAAGCTTTCACGTAGAGTACCAGCATGATACCAGCCGTAAAATCTTGTTTTCTGAATCTCAGTTTTTCACGAAATACTGTGTGAAGTGCTTAACATAATTTTAGGATGTTGTCCAAGGGAAAAATTTTAATGCAAAAGCTTTTGAACCCGAATCCACTGATCCACTCACAGGTATTTACTGAGCACTGCTCTGTGCCAGGCACTGTTCTGTGGACACAAAGATAAATATGACCCTATCAGGTCCCTTTCTTATTCAGTGGTCCTCAGCTCTTTATATCATCACAAGCTGGCCTCCTGTCCATCCCCACATTTCCCTACACAGCCGCTCAGCTCTGTTCATTGCCCACTGTCCCCACTTTCTCATTGCTGCCTCTGTAGCTTTGTCGTGCTCTACTCTACTCGAGGCCTCCTCTCTCTCTAATCCACATATCTAACTCCTATTCATCCTTCAAAACCCAGATCAAATCTCATTGCCTTAGTGAAGGCTTCCCTAACCATCCTACTTCAGGAAAATTTCTTCTCTCCCATAGTCTCACAGTATTTTAAGTCACCATTATTTTTGGAACTGCTACTTCGTATACACATATGGATTCATTTTTATGCATGCCTGGTAGGGGAAAAAAGGTTGCAATCTGGAACAGTTTATTGTAAAGGATTTAGTCACTCTGGGCGGCATGGTAGATGTAGACGCAGAATAGGCATCGGTTTGCCAAATGTAGTTTAAAATTCCTGCGGGTGGATCTTAGAGCCCAGATCTGCCGGCTGTGTGCCTGGCTTACCCACTTGGACCAAGTGCTGCTGCTCAGAATGGCCCAAACCCACAGAGGCCCCAGTTAGTATCTGTGTCTGGCACTAATTCCAAGAATTTCTGGATTTGTCCTTCAGTGATTCTTCCCAGAGTTGTCAGCTAAAGAGAAAGAGGAATACTTTAGCAATAGCTAATGTTTATTGAGTGCTTACTACGTGCTGGTCATTGTGTTCAATGCTTTATTTGCATCGTCTTGTTCAACCCTCACAGTAACCACGTAAGGTAGGAACTATCTCCTCCATGTTACATGTGAAGAAACGGAGGCTAAGAGAGATTTAGTAACTTGCCCAAGTTCACACAGCTGGTAGCAGCTGTAGTCAGTGGAATTCAGGCCTTTCTGTTTTTATTCTTAACTTTTAACCCTTCTATGCAATCCAGTGTTGGGTGTAAAAACTATTAAGGGCACCCAAGTCTTTCCAATTTTTAGATGAATGTTGGCACTCATAACCTTTGTCGTCTAAAAAGCTTTGTATTGAAATAAGGATTATTTAAGAACCAATGCAGTTCCAACTGAAAAGATGTTTTGTCATATTCAGTAAAAGAAGATTTAAAATAACTGCTGCTTGGTCATACTCCCATTCTATCCTGAAAGCCCAGCTCTGGACAACTGGGAAGATAGGGTGTAAAAGGGCACATGCATTACAATGTTTTCTAGGAAAACTGGTGGGTGAAAGACTTCCTGAGAAATTTCACACTGGAAAGGAATACTCTGCTCTGCTATATTTAAAGGCAGATAATGAAATCTTTTCTTCTGGGCACATGTTCCTTGCCCTGTGTTTATAGTTGTCACTAGTTCAGGTGGCCTGAAATGCCTGATGTTGGAAATACTGGCCATTTCAGATTCCCCATTGGTCAGGAAGGGTGAGGAATGTCTCCTAATCTTATAAAAAGCAGAGTCACAGAACTTAGAAAGATGCAGTTTGTACCCATTACCAGAGGGACAGATTTTATGGTTTTTAGTGTCAATTTGAATAAGCAAACTTGATGGGGATAGCGGTTGCATAATTTAAAAAAACTGTTTTTGTTTTGTTTTATAAAAATCCAGATTTTGAGAGGCATGTGTAGCTGAGATGAAGTGAGCTAACATTTTGGTCCAGAAAGAAATGCAGAAAAGAAGTTCTTGGTGATTCTGAATATTAAGTCTTTGCTTTGGAGTCAGTTGTAATTTTTATGTCAGTTCTTTTTAAAGTAACAGCAGACACATACATAATGAAACTTTATTAAATGTGAATGAGTCCCTGAGAGAATCACTAGCGATAAGAAGAACAAAAAATGCTTCCCTGGGCTTCCCTGGTGGCGCAGTGGTTGAGAGTCCACCTGCCGATGCAGGGTACACGGGTTCGTGCCCCGGTCCGGGAAGATCCCACGTGCTGCGGAGCGGCTGGGCCTGTGAGCCATGGCCGCTGAGCCTGTGCGTCTGGAGCCTGTGCTCCACAACGGGAGAGGCCACAACAGTGAGAGGCCCGCATACTGCAAAAAAAAAAAAAAAGCTTCACTGAACCAGCTTTTAAAATCTCCAATGCTTAAATTCTTCTAGTCTCTCAAAATTCAGCTTCCCCCAGAAGAATGCCTCCCATTTAAAAATTTTCTTATTAATGTGAAATATCAAGTCATTTTTACATCTGAAATATTTTTTCATTTAAAAAATTGACTAAACCTCATCCTTCACATATTTTCACAGTTAAGATACTTATGATTATGTTGGGAAAGTGTAATTTTGATTATGCTTCCTTCAGAATTTGCTAATGTGAAAAAAACATTTTAAAAAAAGATATAAGATTTAGCACTTCCCTGGTGGCACAGTGGTTTAGAATCCACCTGCCAATGCAGGGCACACGGGTTCGAGCCCTGGTCTGGGAAGATCCCACATGCTGCAGAGCAACTAAGCCCATGCACCACAACTACTGAGCCTGCGCTCCAGAGCCTTCAAGCCA